TTGGCTGGAACTCGATGTCCTCTTTCATTTGAGACCAAACTCAAGACATATGGTTAGGGATAAGGGGTCTAAAATTGAACTGCAAAAGAGGCTGATTCTGCTGGAAAATGCAATTTTCCGCTAGAAGAGTATTTTGCATATAACTTTTTTCGCGCAACAGCTGGAGACTTCTCGTATTCACTACTGGAATCTGTGAGCGAATAACATCTAGAAATGTGCATCTCGTCATTCGTATAAATATTTCCGCACTTTAATGCGTTCTAATTGAAATAGTATGGGCCATTCTGAAGCACGTCGTAGGACGCCACATACTTATACTCGTTCTGACCAAGAAGTATGTGCCGTTCGTGATACCCATTCAAGAACGGCCCGCTAGATGACCCGTTCTGATACAAAAAGGTCATCCCGTACTGGAACGAGACGCCGCGTTTAGTGCTGAAAGGCGTGGGTCATTCCGAGTTAACCTCCCACTATAAAAAGTAAGCTCATAAAAACACATTTTTCATATATCAACAAACTTCATTTAAAATACATAATATGTTGATGATGAACGTGAGAAATTGAGTTAGAAAACTGTTTATTGAGAAAACAAGTTTTTACTCTTCTGATTCTCCTACATGCTTCTAAAAGGCTAAAAAAAAAAAACCTTCAAAAAACAACCAAAATCCTTCAGTTGTTTCGATCAATTGCAGACCACCTAAAATTAAAAAACTGTACGTTTGACCTCTGTTCGTAACTGCGATAAAAGTAACACAGCTTTTGTTACCTTAAATCAGGCTAGTATGAGTCGTATATTCCGGCTAATTTTTCTGCACCTCGTAAAAGTGCGTTTTTATCACGTTCTTTCATCAGACGATAAACTTTCAATAAATGATATTCTTCGTCATCCTGTGCTGTGCGCATATGTTACTCGATAAAATCATCAAATTCTTTGATTTTTGGGTTTGTTTTCTCGTCGTCATCATGCGCAGAATCTACTGGATCCTGGTAGTGATCATCTATATCCATTTCCGTAGTGTGCGTTGGTGTTAAGCGTTTCTGTTTACTGACGATGCTGGTTGATATTGTGTTTTCACCTTTAGCTGACACTCGATCAATAGCTTCTTCTCGGGTTGGTGGTGGTGGCGATATTGCTTGTTTTCGATGAGGTTTATTTTTTGAAGAGGACTGTTGAAGGGTAGACACAACAACGGTTGAAGTTTCGGATCGCTGTTCGGGGTCTTTGTGTTTCTCTCGAAGCAATTGCGTTGACGAAGTATTACACAGATCGATGACTCTGTCTAGAAACTTTTGCACCTCAGGTCCAGCAGCAGTTGAACTTAGTTGCTTGATATCGCGTTCTAAATAATCGATAAATAAACGAAACTCGTCAGCGTCGTTCAGTTTTGGGTAGTTGATTTTCTAATTTTTTCTCTATAGCATCTTTGGACTTGAGAGATTGCTCTGCTTCCACCATTCGATAGATAATGGAAAGACGAGTTGAATGCATTATTTAATAGTGATTTTCCATTTTGTCTTACTGGAAATCTGCCTATCGCAATAAAGAGCCAAACTGGATTTTTTTAAAACCCTCCTCAAAATCTCTAAAATATTTTGAAATTTTTTTGACAGAACCACGAGAAAGCGCTAACTTTTACTATATAACCCATAAAAACTTCAAGGTTCACTACTGGTTTATATGGGAAAAATTTAGTATTACTGCGTTCTCAAAACAGAAAAAAAAGCAAAAGTGGTTATATTTTTAAGTCGATTTATGTTAACCCTATCCATGGGCGTTCATTTCAAAAGCGTTTCAGCTTCTGCGAACACAGCCGTGTATATCATGATACGGGCTCCACCAAAGTGCCCACTGGACAGCGTAAAAAGAAACTTTATTGGTAAACTTCACAATACAGACGATAGTTTGTTCTTTCAATAGTTATATAGTTTGTTTTTTGTCGCGTTAAATTAGACGATTAAGTATAGTTTTAACTATCGTTAAAAAATCAGTGCGCCTTATCGCCGTATTCATCTGTACCGTGATAAACAGTAGAATATCGGGAAATTAATGCATATCGCGACACAACCCGATAAAAAGGCATTACGATTTATTTAACCACTTCTTCTATTCGGATATTTCTACAATTTAACGCGATACGAAACAACATCGCGATGTTGATCGATAAATATTTATCGCGGCCGAACGAAGCAGAGGTACTAACTAACAGTACCTAAAAACGAATCGTTAGTTGACTCGCATGCTGATGTGTTTTATCCGAACTCTGACACTCATTTATATATCAGAAGTGTATGAGTTCCGCTAAACAATAGGATAGATCGAGTATTCAACATCAGATGTTGTCTTTCATCACATATCAAAATCAATAAGTGAAATTGGTTTTCAACAATGAAAACTATTTTAATTTTTCACTCAGTCAATGATAAGCGGCTACAATTGTCGAATTCAGTATGAAACTGTAGAGAATTTTTCTTTTAGTATAGGGTTCATTTAAAATATTATAAAATATCAACAACAATTTCCTTTGGTGGTAAAAACAGCCACCATTATAGATTGTTTACGTGTATTTATTGATGAAACACAATATTCAGCCACAAACGTTACACATGGGAATTTTGAATGTGATGCAATTCTTTTTATTGAACCACATCAAGTAATAGAAAAACTCTGTTATTCCTATGATAAAACAAAAAAGAATTATACATTTTTTCGTTATCCAACATTAGAAGAATCGAGTTAGTGTATTTTTTTCTTGTATGCATTGTACCCTTTTATAATAATAAAAAGCAAGAAATCCTTTAACATGAAAGAAGTGTAGCCCTATTTTCGTCATTTCCTACAAGTTTCTAGCAGATATGTGCCAGAAATTCTAATAACAAAAAGTGAAAACAACCGCGATTTTGAATTGAAAAATTGCGTTTTGTACGTAAACTGCGGACAACTTATATTTTTCAGTAATCGAGATTATTCGAAAACCGCACTTTTCGTGGTAGAGAACATGCATTTTAGTTCAGATCGCAAACGACTGCGTTTCGCATAAAACTGCGATAGGTCGCGGTTGAAGTACAGCCCCAGGTTTTGAATAGAAGGACAATATTTCTTTTACGATCGAAGTATCTCGCGTTTCTTCTTGAACTTCGATTACTCGAAACTGCGAAAAAACCGCGATTACAACGGGAGAAACCGCATTCTGCTCTTCATTTCGTACAAACGCAGTTAACCAATGCACGCAGTAGATCGCAGCTTAACAACAAAAGCGCGATTCTTATTAATGAAATCGGGATTTAAACTTCAAACGGCGAGCAACTACGTGCTTAGTTTAACCGCAGTTTCTTGACAAAACGCGTTTTTGGATGAGAGGACCGCGATTTGGATGACAGGACCATGGTAGAGAATGAAGCAGAAATAAAGCCGCCATAAACACAAAAGTTTTGGCGAACTGAATCAGTGCGCGATTCAATTTGTCCTCAGTGTGCAAATTTACATTAATGCATTTTTTTTCTATTCTAATGCATAGGCAATATAGCTAAATGCTTCGTTGCTATCGGTCCCGAGGGAAACTGATCTCAGCTCTGATTATTGATTAACAGATCAAAGTTAAAGCGACGCGATGAGATCCTTTCTAGCGCCTCCGATTGTCTAAGTTTTTCTTAATGTGACATTGCGAAGAAAAGTTATTTAACCCATTGCCCGCTGACGACATCATTGAATAGAACAAATTGGGCTACTGATATATCAGTGGACAGCGTGCAATGTGTTAAAGCAGAAATGTAGTTTTTTTGCATCTGTATTTATGATGTTTTAAAAAACATAAAAAACAAATAAATATTATGATGCATGCGATACGTCACACAAAATTACAATAAAGTTATATAATGAAGTTCGCAAAATTTTTGTCTATAAGATATTTATAAATATTGCGATATAAAAACTTGATCAGTCTTATTTAATACATCTGAAAAAAGTTCGAGATTCAAGCCTTTTCCCGCCCTCTTCTATAAAAAGAACGGGGTTCTTTTACCATAATCTTTTTATACGAATCTCTTCATTTGATTACATCAAATTTTAAAACAATAAACTGTGAACATGGACCCTTCACGTTGAAAATATTTTTATCGGATCAAACTTCTAAGGATTTTCTATATGTTTAACTCGTCACTCACATGTCTTTCCAAATATGCTGTGTCCAGCTAAAAATCGATCGTTATGCGAAAACACAAATGCTCTTCAAAGGCATTTAACTTGTCCGCACTATGATATTTTCACTCCGGCTCTCAAACTGGAAAGGATGTCCTTATTTGTCAACGTTAAATCAACAAGAGAGATACTATGTTATCCAATAAAGCATGATACAAATGAAGAGTTTGTCTGCAGTTATGAGACATGGCTTGCGATTATTTGTGCGTGTAAACGGATTCAAAAAAATGCAACAATGAAAGATTTCCCACTTGATTCTATTGCATTCAATTTTGGGAGTTGTATCATTGTTTCTAGACCAACCTGTCCGTCTGTTCAATTAAGCTCAGTACCTTCCGCTATAGCGGCACAACAATGGCTACAGTCGAAATGAAAAAAATTAACGTTATAGTTATTGGCGAGTCTGGAAGCGGTAAGTGATGAGTGAGAGAAAAAAAAAACTAACTCGTATGTCGATGGAGATTCTTGCATTAGCACGTGTTTCTTTCACTTTATCACATGTCCCTTAGGTAAAAGTACCGTGATTAACTACCTTACAAACTACTTTCGTCAGGGCAGCTTAGATCACATGAAAATTGCTATACCAACAGAGTTCTATCAGGCTACCGAAAAAGATTATAAGTCCGATGAACACAACGTCAGCGATAAAACTCAGAGTAAAACCACTGGCTGCAACCAATATACCTTCGAACACACATCAAATCAAACCCAAATTTCGTTTCTTGACACTCCTGGTATCGGCGACACTCGGGGAATTCAGTTTGATAAAGAGAATATAAAAGAAATATTTGATATTGTGCAACAAATGGAAATGCTCACTGCCCTTCTTCTCATCATCAACGGCACACAGCCACGGTTAACGTTCAACATCGAATATGTTTTGCAACAATTTCGTAATTGGCTGCCAAATGTGGTCCTTGAGAATATTGTCGTGATTCTCACTAACTGTAGTCGATACACAGTTAACTTTGAACCGGAAACAATTGGCTTGCCATCGACCGTGAAAACATTTTATATGCAGAATTCAGCATTTTCAAATAGTACGAGAAAAATGAATTCACAGGTCAGACAACGACTACAAATTGATTGGAATGAATCAATGAGTACATTAGACAAAATAATTGATCTTCTAGAAACACTCCCCTCACTATCCACCCAAGCATTCATTGATATGGATAGTGATAAGAATGACCTGAGAAGTCTGCTACATGAATCACGATTGATTATCAAAGAATTGCAGATGCTGCATGAGGCATTAGACACTAAGGAATTACCAAATAAAACTCGAAAAGTTTATTTGTGGACATCCGTTCAACGTCATAATACACTTTGTTCAAATTGTCATACAGTGTACCATGAACGATGCACTTTAAATGAAATACCGAAACAAGGTGATAGTCAGCTAGCAGCATGTGCTGCATTCGATGCCAGTGGTACAAAATGCACAAAATGTCCATCAAAATGTTCTGTCAAATTGCATTATCACGCAAGAAAATCAGTTAAACCTGTTGATCGAAGTCACACGGAAACATTGAAGGCTGTGGAAGCAGAGCAATCTCTCAAGTCCAAAGATGCTATAGAGAAAAAATTAGAAAATCAACTAGCCAAAATTGAACGACGCGCAGAACATCTCGTAAAAACCTGTGCCCAGTTCAATATTGCTGACGAGTTTCATTTATTTATAGGGTTATTTAGAACGCGATATCAAGCAACTGAGTTCAACTGCTGCTAGACCTGAAGTGCAAAAGTTTTTAGACAGAGTCAACGATCTGTGTAATACTTCGTCAACGCAATTGCTCCGAGAGAAACACAAAGACCCCGAACAGCGATCCGAAACTTCAACCGTTGTTGTGTCTACCCTTCAACAGTCCTCTTCAGAAAATAAACCTCGTCGAAAACAAGCAATATCGCCACCACCACCAACGCGAGAAGAAACTATTGATCGAGTGTCAGCTAAAGGTGAAAACACAATATCAACCAGCATCGTCAGTAAACAGAAACGCTTAACACCAACGCACGCTACGGAAATGAATATAGATGATCACTACCAGGATCCAGTAGATTCTCCGCATGATGCCGACGAAAAAATAAACCCAAAAATCAAAGAATTTGACGATTTCATCGAGCAACATATGCGCACAGCACAGGATGAAGAAGAATATCATTTATTGAAAGTTTATCGTCTGATGAAAGAACGTGATAAAAACGCACTTTTACGAGGTGCAGAAAAATTAGCCGGAATATAAGACTAATACTAGCCTGATTTAAGGTAACAAAAGCTGTGTCACTTTTATCGCAGTTACAAGCAGAGGTCAAACGTACAGTTTTTTAATTTTAGGTAGTCTGCAATTGATCGAAACAACTGAAGGACCCAACAAAGTTTCACAGTTTAGTTAGCTTGTACTTTCTCACATGTAGCTGTATGAAATAAAGTTGAACATAATACTTCCTTATATCTTTTTCTACCGACAAGTTCTGTGACTTAGCAGCGCATTCAACAGATTCTTACCGTTTGAAAGCGTTAAAAGTCCAACTAATTTTGAGTTCACTTCAAGCATGTTTCAGATATAACGAGCCATCTTTTACTCTTTCCCTCTATACTTCTAAGATTATTCATTATAAACGACTTGGTAAGTGATTTGTATATATCTGTCTTGCTGTAGAGAAATGCATTAGGTCATACCACTGACAATTCTACTGTATGTCTTTTTCCCTCTGCTTTCAGTTGAACTATGGCTACTGCAGCAATGTCCATATTATCGTTAAATGCAGGTGATACTTCGTCCAAAGTTTTAGTAATTGGTGAAACAGGTAGTGGTAAATCTACATTCATCAATTATTTAACAAATTATTTTAAAAATGGTTCACTTGATAATCTACGAGTTTCGATAAAAACAAAATATCGATTAGCTACCGAAGGCTATACACACAGTGAGAACAACACTGATGATACATCAAAATCACAGACTACAGCATGTAGTCAGTACAAATTTACCAGAAATGGAAAAGCATATACGTTTTTAGGTGAGTATATTTCGCTCTTTTAGGTTTCAGCACTACACACAAAATTATTGTTATACCTCTTCACAAATGCATTTTTCCTGATAAGCAAGGTCCGTCTTTCGGCACGGATTACCTTTCAAAGCACGCCAGTAGGCCTAGTTTTTTATACTCGTTACGAGTAGCGACTTAGTTTCTTACAAAACTCGGTCATAATTCAAAGATTTTAAAAACTTTATTTTCAATTCGACCAAGTGGTTTTCATGATAAAAGAGAAAATATACCGTTTGCTAACACTTCTGATCTCTAGAAAATGGTTTATTCCATTACAACTTTCGATGGTTAGAGAAAGTGCTGAATAAAGAACGGTTTTGCCGTGGAGAGTCATCTTTTTCATGTATAGCATAGTGCGTTCGAAAGAGCTCGTCGGCTACAACTCAACGATATAAAATACCTTCTCCACTGAGTATTTGCTCAATCACGTTTTTAAGAAGGCTTGTTAGCGTAGACCTTGAGGCCTTAAAGTGAAACTCATGCCATAACATGCTTATGAGTTCAATAAAAGGTTGCCACGTAGGGCATTAGAAATAAATCGTCTCCCCTAGAGGTGCTTTATACGATATGACCATCAAGCGTGATATCACACTTCTAATGCGCTATTTACCATTGAAAACCGTCTTATCTAGAGCCTATTTCTCCGGTTTGGAAATAAAGTGTGACATCACGCTTCTCCTGGCGTGTTACGTAACAAAACCGTCTAAATTGCGACTAATTTATACGGTACAACCACGAAGTGTCATATCACACTTCTCTTGTCCCTATTGTCGAGGTAAACTCTTGTGCTCAAGATATTCTAGTTATCGTAGCGACCTCACAAATTTCGGTTATGTTTTCTTGTTTGTCTTTGTGCATGCGGCCCTGTTTATCCATCCACAATGTACGATATCATACTTTTTCTTGCCTATTAACTTTCACTCCTTTTATTATTCAAATAAAACGTCTGCACCAGAGAAGTTTCGCAAAAATGACTCCGTAACGAGAGCTTTTCGCTTCTTTTTATTTATTTAACCGTTCTATTCAAGAAGCGAGTAGATATTCTGAAAGCTCGTAAAAAACTAAACGACCTTTACCTATTTTAGTGATTTAGAACCGCTGTTTCTATTACTAGAGACTCAGACAGAATTTATTTCTGAAAGAATCAAAAAAAGATACCACGATCGGTCTCGACCTTTCTTCAGGAAAAGCACCATACTTATGGTTCGATCTTGGGAAGTGGTCTTTCTCTACTGTGTCAAAACTACGATTAGTAAGAAGATGGGTGACCACTTCCCAAGATCGAACCATAAGTATGGTGCTTTTCACATTTATCTCAACAGTTGTTGAGTGAAAGTTACTAGATACAGTTTAAGTTTAAAAGGATGAGTCATTTCTGGTAGAATGAAAAGAAATACTTAATGTAGAGAAGCAGAACATGTGCATTGTACAGTGATACCGTGCTTCGCTCTCGTCGTGTGAAAGTTATCGTTGTTTGTTCGATAAGAACAAGGAATAGTCTCCGTCCACACCCTCATACGGTGTGGACGGAGTTTGTGTTGCTTGCCGTGCCGAAACTGTCTTTCTCGAAGGAAAGCACCTGACGAGACCCTGGAGAAAGGTTGAAACCGGTCGTGGTATATTCCTTTGATTTTTTCAAAAATGAATTCTGTCTGAGCCTCTAGTAACAGAAATAGAGGTTGTAAAATTACTAAAATAATTATCTTAAGTCGAGTTTCATATTAATATAGACCTTTACCTAGAAACTTTTGTTTTACAAGGCGTCGCTTCAAAAGAAAGCGCTGAAGTTCGAAAGGTGCCAAATAAAAATCCATTTCTCAGAATTCCGGAACAGCTTCTGTTTTCAAATAACACCTCTCTGGACTATCCAAAGTGAATGATATTCTTCTGTAAAACTTTCATCGAATTCGCATTTACCAGAGAAAAGCTACATGATTTGAAAGTTTTAAAACAGGAACTCCGTAACATTTTGACAATCCATTTAGTTAGGTGTTTTTGCATTTTCTAGAAGACATTTTCTATCTATTTTGTTAAGATACGCCGGGTCTCGGTGATACGCGTGGTACTCAGCAAGATGATTTGAATATCGACAAGATCATCGGTTCAGTTGAGACGTTTAATGGAATTACGTGCGTTCTAATTGTAATGAATGGTACTGTACCACGTTTAACTGTTAATGTACAAAATGTTATTGTACGCCTACAAGGATTTCTTCCTGATGTAATTATGGAAAATGTCATTATTGTTCTTACAAATGCCTATCGTTATGCAGCTAATGCAGATTTAGAGAAGTTATTAAATTTGAAATCTATAGTACATCCATTCTATATGCAGAATTCTGCATTTTCAAACTCGAAATGGGATCAGATGGCATTGGAATCTTTACAGGCAGACTGGAAAATGTCTATGACTGAATTGAAAACTTTAGTTGATCTTGTCGATCAATTCGAAGTTAAAACGGTAGCAGCCTTCGGTGATATGAAGCAACTTCGGCATGATATTAAATCAATGATGCACAATGCACGATTAGAAGTTGAAAATATTCAAAAAGCCCAGGATGAAATGGCAGCAATTCAAACAGGTATTAAAGGTTTTGATGATGATATCAGTAAAAACAAAGATTTTACGAGAAAGAAAGTAGATGTAGCTCAGCTAGTTGATGCACCGTATCATAGTACAATATGTTCACAATGTAATCATGTCTGTCATGATCATTGTGCACTACAAGAAACGTACACACAAGGACACCAGGTATTATGTGGGTGTAGTTGCATGGGTGGTGCTAACCAGTGCAGAGTCTGTGAAGGTCATTGTCCATACACCCAACATTATCATGCACGAAAAACGATGTCGAAGACACAGCAGACCGTAGATGAAGTATTACATGATATTAAAGCCAAATATGATGCAGCTTCGACGAATAAAAATCAGGCACAACAGAAATTGACAACAATAAGTGATCAAAAGAAGATGTTAGAAAATGCACTGATACAGAAAAATGCTGAAATCAAAACGAAATGTTTAGAACTAAAAAAGCACTGCAGCGGTTTCAATATTGTTGCTGAATTAAATATTATGATTAAACAGTTAGAAACATCAAAACATAATATTAAAGATCTGGATGCACTTCGTCAAGCTGAAACCTTTATTAATAGTTTAGTCGGATTTTGTAATCAATTGGAAAAGGATACTGCATTGCCAAATACACAACAAAAAAATCAAATGAAAATTCAAGATAATTATCGTCCAGGCCCTCGAGGAGGTGGTACTAATTTTCAAGGTCAAAGAGCCGTTTCCGGTGATCGAGCACACAATGATGAACAATATTCCGAAGAAGAGAAAGAGGAGACAGGTTTTGGCAATGCACCACTTCAAAATCAACAACGTCCAAGACGTAAAAAAGTATTCAATCGACATCCCGATAGTGCCACAAGCAACCAAGACAATTTCATCCGAAACGCACCGCGTCAACAACATCAGCAGCAACAACAACGTCCTAATAGGGCTGCAAGTAATCACAGAAATTACAACATTAATACTCCTTGTCAGCAACAGCAACCTTTGGCAACAGGCAGACCAGCTGCCTCGTCGGACGGAAAAAACATATGGTGTGGCGGATTTACAGAAGGTATTGAACATCGGTTTCTCTCCCATTC